TGGTTGAGTCGGGACAATCTTAACGGGAAACCATGGGAAACCATCGATTTTCCCATTAAAATTTTAAAAAAAGCAATAGGCTTTCCTGTAAATTGTCCCGTTTTAAAGCCAATCCATTGACATGTGCGGAAAAAAACAATGGATGGCATAATGCTGTTGATGGCCTGAAAAAATCTTGGAAAAAACCCATTCCTCCCTGACATGTACCCTCTGGTAAACTAACATAGCTATGGAAAATCACCATTTTTAATGGGAAAAACCAGTGTAAATGGCCATTTTCAATAGCTATGTTAAATTACCAGAGGGTAATGGACTCGGATGGCCTCTCTTGCTTTTATAAGACCTTTGTTCTGTGGCCGACCGGAATTATTTCCTGCATTGAGAGAGTAGTAGAATTCCTGCCATGAATGGTAGTATAGAAAGCCTGAACAAGATTCAGAAAAGCCATTTACAACATTTTTCAAACATGTTCGATCATTTTAGTAGGATGTCCCTACAGAAGATGGTGGTAAGATGCTGGCTGGAGAACCTCATCTGTGTGATATCATGGGGATACGACGGGATATAATGGGGATATACGGGATATACCCTTTGGTAATTTACCATATTGAAAATGGCCCATTGATAGATTATGTATCATGATTTATACATATTAAAATATACCTATTAAAAATGGTTATGTTCCATCGCTATGTTAAATAACCAACAACATGATTTTTTGGTGTGTCGGAGAAAAAACAAAACACAGTAGTGTTCAAACAGGACATTGAAAAAAAAACATCTGTGACCGCCCGGCTGTCTCAAAAAAATGGTGCGTCCTCCAACCTGATATCCGACAATGGCAGTCTAGCCATTCAGACCAATCAAGAAGTATCACGTTTCATCAGTTTAATCAACATTAGATGAAATTATATAATGACTATGACTATGAATGCGGTTATAGAAATGATACTCATTGTATAATGGCATTGAGACTGATAATGGCAAAGTGGATGATAACAACAAGAGTGATACATGCTAATGACAATGGATATGATATATTTTAGTATAATGACAAACCTAGCGATACCCACCGTCTGGTATCGTTTTTGGTGGAGGCCAAACCGCCGCTGCTGCCTGTTCGCATGGACGCTCCAGAGCCCCACTGCAAGAGGCGGTTGAAACCTGCACTGAGTCCACCCTGGTTGAATAGGTTATTGTTTGAATTTGTTTTGCCATAAATGGCGACACATGGGAACAGATTCTGACAGATTTATAACATCCAGATAAAGTCGTCTTTGAAAGCTAAAGTTGTCCACGGTTTCAAGTCTTGGTTGAACCAAAAAAAACTGGAAGTTTGCCAACGAAAAATGGTAACATCACCAACAAAACATAACAAACCTGGTATTTTTGGGGGAGTTCACCCGGATGGTTCCTGGAGCTTCAACGCAACGGTGACTCTCAGGTGACCTCCAAATGAGCAAAATCGCCTTGTCGATTGGTTCTTAGATCTACAACTAGGCAGCTATACTACCTAGTTGGGGATGATTTATCCATAGGGATACCTATCTTAACCAGTAAAATGAGATGGGACAGCGGGATGGTTCCCCATGTCACCGCTGGCTCCATCGATGATCGCAGCGAATCATCGCCCAAAATAGGCTCAACCAACGAGATCCAACCAGATCAGTGAGTCGTGAGTCGTGAACCAGGAAGGGAGCCTTTGTCCACTCATCAGGCCCAGCAAATCTCTGCCCGTCCCCGTTTTTGGGGGTCCCGAAGAAAAGTTCTTCCAGGATTGTATAAATGAACTTCACCTCATATTCACCTGAAACAAGTTGGCTTAAATCCAGAGTTAACCCCTGTTAACCCCTGTTAACCCCTGTTAACCAGTGCCGAACCAGACTCCAGTTTCCAGCCATTCCCATAAGAAAACTGCCAGGAGCTTGGGGACGGAGCTGCTGCTTCCAATCAGGTGGAAGCTCATGGACCCATGGATTTTGGTGCCCTTTGTGTCTCTGAAAAATGGGCTATACATCGAATTTTGATTCTCAAAGAAAAAACCCAATGATTCACCATGATTCACCAGTGTTTCCGACTTTGGCTTGGGACCCATTCATGTGGTATTTAGCCAATTAGAAAAACCATCCCTCAAAAATTACCATGTTTCAATGGCAATTTCATGGGGAAAATGAATGAAAATAACCAGAAAGCATCAATTCTTGGGGGTACCAAGCTCATAACTGGATACATAATTGGGAATATTTGACATGTGTTTGGGGAATGCTGAATAGATGTCTAGAAGCAAAAGGATCATGGAATCGCTGTGGGGTTTCAACATGGACCAGTGATGCATTTCTTGGCACCCGATCCTATGCCCCAAAGATGACCAAAAAGTTGCCTGTAGTTGTAGATACATTTTTCTTTCCCAAGTTTCCGAAGAAATATGGAAAAGATGGTCTCACCAGGATATGGTGGATACTATCATTAATGGTAGTTGCCTATATCGCTAATGATCATATTCGTCCCAATGTTATAATGTTCCCATGATAAGAATAGCATCATAGTTATTCAACTGGATGTTTACCGTTATGTTTTTGCCAGTTCATCCCATCGACAACTGCTGAGCGTCGTCGTCGTCGTCATCATCATCATCATCACGAACATAATAGTCATAAACATAATCATATCTAATCATGATCACAATCATAATCATAACCATCATAACAATATTATATTTGCTGAGTTTGACCATGTAGCAAAACTTGTTATGATCCTTCATTATCTTCAATTATCCCATAAGCTGATATTGAGTTATAAATTCCAATAACTTGCTATATTTGTATTGTAACTCCACAATATTCCCCCTGGTACCATCACCATAAGCTGACGTGCCGTCAGGCCGCGGAGCCCTCAGCTCGACGCGCTGCCGGAGCCGGAGGCGACGGAGGCGTGGAAGGCGGCGTCGCCGAGCCCCGAGTTGCTGCCGCTGCCGGACAGAGAGGAGGAACCGAGGGAAAAACCATGGAGGGCGGGAGGAAAAGCGTTTTTTTTCCAAAAAAATTGGGAAAGTCTACGATTTTCCGGGGAAGTCTAAGATTTCAGCCTCATGTGGCAAATGATTGATCAATCAACACTAAATCAATGGCCAAGATCGGCATTTTTCTCCGGCCATTCCACCGGTCCATGTAGGGGACTGCCCTTCCAAGTGGCGTAAACCTAGAGGGGCATAGAATCCTAGCCCCTAATATTGAACAACTCCCCAGAAACTGTGGTTTATATAGTAATTAGAGTAGGAGATTTGTAGGTATTTGGGACCATGGAATGGGGTGTGTTTAATATTGGATGGGGGAATGTGGCCGAAATTCCGGTGCCTCGGAGTTGGGAACCGTGTCTCCATTTTTGAGGGTGCGCCCATGTTGTAGTCAGCCAATACCCCTGTTCCTATGAAGTGCCAGTTGTGACCCAAGTTTTTCGGGATTATATCGCGAGAATTGCATGCTGAAACGTATATATATATATATATATAGTATATATAGTGTATATATATATATATAGTATACAGATAAGTACCGATATAAAAAAAATCTAGAGATGAAGGTTCCATGTCGGTGTTCCATCCCAGGTTGTCATGGAAAATGGTTTCGGATTTCCCAAGCCGCCAGGGCCCAGAAATGATTCCCGTCGACTCCTCAAACAGCAGCCGGGCGCGGCGAGACAGGGGGAGAGCTGCGGAAAACGTGAAAAATAGCGGTATTTCCCCATGAAAAAGGTGGTATCATCATGTTGTATCCAGGAAAGAAGGAAAATTGATCAAAAAGGAAGCATCAAAACATAAACCATAAAGTAAACCAATTGGATGATACTAACGAATCTTGCCACAAATGGCATGGTAGTACATATGTACATAATTGTACGTAGAGACATTTACATAGACGTATACATATACATCTCCACGTACATAGACATACATGTAATACATATACATCTCCATGAAATTAGATATATACATTTATGTCTATGTATATATATATATATATTGATATTTATTTATATATATATACACATGTACATGTACATATACTTACCATCTGAAGAAATATTTGTTAGCCGTGCATCTAAGATTGGCCACAAAAAACGCAAGTCAGTAGCACCCCCAGTGATGCTCGGGTCAGGGCAAGCGCCGTTCACGCC